TAAACCACAATTGATTTCCAGGCATTGACTTTGAGATTAATTGTCCGTCTCGTCGACACTCGTCTCGGATCTCATTTGACGCGCGCTTTGTTTTCTCAATTAGTCTATCGATAGCGTCGCCAGAAGTTTCGTCAATGCGTTCGGCGAACTAATTATTAAATTTTTCATTTTAAAAATATATTTTAACATATAAAACATGACACTAATAATAATTGAGTAAATTTTCAACCTATAAATCACAATTTTTTACACAGCTGAAATTAACAATGTTTATAAAATAGTTAGAGCAAAATAAATTAACCTCGATAGATCTCTCAATATGCCCGTATCCAACTGTCAGCAGTGCTTTATTCGGAAAGTTTGATGCAATTTTTAATATGAGTTCAATTGGGGCAAAATGTGAGGGACATTCGATGCCGCAGCTGTTGAGATGTGCCCTGAGCTGAGTGGGCGGTCCGGCAAACACACAATGACCGCCCTTTGAGAGGACGTACAACCGGTCAAACATCGCCAGTATTAGTGAGTTTGGCTGATGTATTGACGTCACGATTGCCATCGAGTGTTTCTCTGTCAGGCGTTTTAAACACTGGATTACCTAAATATTTGCCCCAAATTTATCTACATTTAGACGTTATAACCAGTATTATAAATATTAATTAAAACAATAAATACAATTTCAGATGAATTGCTGTCTAAACCACTGGTCGGTTCGTCAATGCATAGGAGGTTAGGCTTGATTTGTTGGACTAACTCCAGGCCAACAGTTAGGCGCTTCTGTTCGCCACCACTGCATCGCTGGACAGTTGTGTCCGCGCAGTCCTCCAGTAGTAGTTCAGACAATAGACGCCTCACATTCATGTCGTGGTCAAAGTGGCCGTCGATGTTAAACGGCTCGTATTCAGTGTTTAACTCAATCCCGACTCCAGAAAGTGCCAGTTTAGTAGTGTCCCTCTCAAACGCTCCCGACTGAGCGGTATTTTGTCCGCCAATGTCGATCTGTTTGGTGGTCACCCTATTTTTGATCTTCGACGCGAATACTAGCGATTCTCTGTTTTGGTAATGTTTTTATTATTTTAAAAATAATTAGCATTT